ATCATGATTCCGCTTGTTATCATCCTTCCCCTCTCATGCTCCTCCTCCTCGCCCTTCTCATCCTCATCTTCCTCGAGCCCCCGTCCGCGCTCGGGAGTTCGAGCGGCGCCGAGGTGGAAACGACCTGCCTCTTTCTCCCGCCCAGGCTTTCCGTCCGACATCCTCTGCCAACAATCCACCCTTTGCGTTGCCTCCTCCTCCTCCTCCTCCCGCCAGCCTGCGCGGCAACGAGGGCGGCAACGGCAGCGGCCCTCAGGAGGGCTCTGGACCGAAGCGCCACCGCGCGGCCCAGGCGCCGAATCCGCAGCTCGCCATGGGCCGCGAGGGCCTGGGCGACTGCCCTGACCAGAACGCCCGCAGGCGGCGGCATCGCCGCGGACGCTAATTTCCCGAGGGGGGGGGGGGGGGTTGGGGGGGGGGGGGGGGGGGGGGGTGGGGGGGGGGGGGGGGGGAAGGGGGGGGAAGGGTGGGGTGGGAAGGGGGGGGGGGGGGGGCGGAGCCCGCAAGCTGAAGGGAAGCCACGGGTAGCGTGGGGCACGATCCAGTGTGAGGGGCGATGCCGAATGACAGTTTCAGCGTAGCGTGATGGGGCCAGCGGCGCGATCCAGTGTGAGGGGCGTGACCTTGTGCGATGTGTGTCCGCAGAGCGGGTCGACGAGGACCGCTGAGCATCATAGCAACCAGATGTATCAGTAGTAACGTTTTTTGTCAACGAAAAACAGCATACGATAAAGACGGGGCAGCGAAAACCGATGTGTAATGATGGCGACGCACATGCATGTATATACTCGCTGCTTGCTGGGGCGCAACGCAACCGAAAACCTTGATATGCCCATGTGTGCAGTGATACATGTGCGGAAATTATCGGGATGCGTTTTGATAGCGAAGCAGCCGCAAGTGCACGAACATTCCAAACCACCCAAGCAACGCAACATGCAAGGAACCGAGCCTCCCACTCCACACAAAGACGAACGCAAGCGGGCGAAGGCAGTTTGAACGGACGCTGCCCCCTCGCCCGAACCAAGTTGGGGAGGCGATCGCCGCCGCTCCCCAACGCAAGGCCCTCTGGGGAAGCAGACGGCTACGTTCCCCAGTCTGCTTGGGCACGCTGGTTCCTCTTGTTATGCCCTCCCCATACTACTACTACTACTACTACTACTACTACTACTACTACTACTACTACTA